TGTTGTGTGTGTTGTGTGTTGTTGTTGTGTGTTGTGTGTGTTGTGTGTTGTGTGTGTGTTGTGTGTTGTTGTGTGTGTGTTGTGTGTTGTGTGTGTGTGTTGTGTGTGTTGTGTGTGTTGTGTGTTGTTGTGTGTTGTTGTGTGTGTTGTGTGTTGTTGTGTGTGTTGTGTGTTGTTGTGTGTGTTGTTGTGTGTGTGTTGTTGTGTGTTGTTGTGTGATGTTGTGTGTGTTGTTGTGTGTGTTGTTGTGTGTTGTGTGTTGTTGTGTGTTGTTGTGTGTTGTTGTATGTGTGTGTTGTGTGTGTTGTGTGTTGTTGTATGTGTGAGTTGTGTGTGTTGTGTGTCATTGTGTGTGTTGTTGTGTGTGTGTGTGTTGTTGTGTGTTGTTGTGTGTGTGTGTTGTGTGTGTTGTTGTGTGTGTTGTGTGTGTTGTTGTGTGTTGTTGTGTGTGTGTGTTGTTGTGTGTGTGTGTTGTTGTGTGTTGTTGTGTGTGTTGTGTGTTGTTGTGTGTGTTGTGTGTTGTTGTGTGTGTTGTTGTGTGTGTGTTGTTGTGTGTTGTTGTGTGATGTTGTGTGTGTTGTTGTGTGTGTTGTTGTGTGTTGTGTGTTGTTGTGTGTTGTTGTGTGTTGTTGTATGTGTGTGTTGTGTGTGTTGTGTGTTGTTGTATGTGTGAGTTGTGTGTGTTGTGTGTCATTGTGTGTGTTGTTGTGTGTGTGTGTGTTGTTGTGTGTTGTTGTGTGTGTGTGTTGTGTGTGTTGTTGTGTGTGTTGTGTGTGTTGTTGTGTGTTGTTGTGTGTGTGTGTTGTTGTGTGTGTGTGTTGTTGTGTGTTGTTGTGTGTTGTTGTGTGTGTTGTGTGTGTGTGTGTTGTTGTGTGTTGTTGTGTGTGTGTTGTTGTGTGTGTGTGTTGTTGTGTGTTGTTGTGTGTGTTGTTGTGTGTGTGTGTTGTTGTGTGTTGTTGTGTGTGTTGTGTGTGTTGTTGTGTGTTGTGTGTTGTTGTGTGTTGTGTGTGTTGTTGTGTGTTGTGTGTTGTTGTACGTCTGACTGAGGGACTTGCTGTTTCTGTTCTCAGGAGGAACGAGAGAAACAACGCCAGGAGAGGAGAGCCAGGAGAGAGGGAGGGAAGGAGGTACGTCTGACTGAGGGAGGGAAGGAGGGAGGGAAGGAGGTACGTCTGACTGAGGGAGGGAAAGAGGGAGGGAAGGAGGTACGTCTGACTGAGGGAGGGGCTGTTGGGGACTGATTGTGAAGTTTGGAGGATCTGTAAAGGACGCAGAGCTTGCTTTAGATGGTGGATCTGTTCTGTGTTATTAATGCTATTGCTATCATTATTATTATTGTTATTAATATTATTATTATTATTGTTATTGTTATAATGATAATGGTGATGTTGATGATGTTGAGGATGTTGAGGATGTTGATGTTTACTGGTGTTTTTCTGACAGGAGAAGAAGCCCAAGGTGAGAGAGAGCAAGCCGACCAAAGTTGTGATTGATGATGAGGAGGAGAACAAGGAGAGGAGGAGGAGGCAGAAAGAGGACGACCGTCGCCACGGCGACCGTAAACACAACAAAGAGGAGGAGCCACGGCGACACGGAGAGGACCGGGACGGGGACAGGTGATTGCCACATTGGTCGCTTGTTGTTTTGTGGAAAGTTGTGTAGTCGCAAGTTTTCGCATTTAAAAAAATAGTTTTGTGCAATGTGTGAGAGTAAGTAGCTAGAGGAGAGAATTGTTACGGAGGCCAGCCAGAGGAAGGAAGGAAGGAAGGAAGGAGAGAATTGTTACGGAGGCCAGCCAGAGGAAGGAAGGAAGGAAGGAAGAAGAGAATTGTGCCTGTTTGTTCTTTTTGACAGTAAAAAGTTGCTCATTGTGCTTCTAGTGCCATTAAGTAAAATCCATGAAAGCAAAATCACAGCATGCGAGATGAAATGTCTTTGGGAAACTAAACTTCTCAAGACGAGACAGAGAAATGAAGAAGTAAGAGTAGCTATCGGCACTGAGTCCTGCCTGCGTTACATAGAAAGACAGAGGATAAAATGGTTTGGCCGCCTGTTATGTATGTCACCTGGCCAGCCAGCCTCGAGAGCCTACAACACCAAGCACTCAGGCTATAAAGGAAGAGGAAGGCCACGCAAAAGGTGGATCGAGGGTGTTAAGGAAACCCTGAGAAAACCTAACATGACAACTGAAAGAGCTGCGGGGCTGGCCTACCATAGAAAACTGTAACTCCCCGCGCCATTTAATGGCCACAGAGGAGGAAAAAGTACAAGGAAAGTGGTAAGGAAGCAACATTGTTGTTTCTTCTTCTTCTTCTCCATAACATCACACGTGCAGTCTGGTGTCTGTCATACTTTGGGCCGTCCTGCTCAGTTCATCTGTCGGCCCGTCTAGCTTCTTACATAGTTGCTGATTTCAATGGACAATGGTCAGTTTGGACATGTGTCAGTGGAATTCTTAACCACTTTCGTCTGTCTGAGATAACTACAAAAAGAGTCAGTTTGGACATGTGTTTTGTAGAATTCCTAATTATTTCTGTCTGTCTGCAGACGACACCATGACAAGGACCGCGATCGTGAGAAGAGGCACCGGGAGGAGAGAGAGAGCAAACGCCGTCACGAGGATGAGGATGAGGAGAGGAGGCGACGTCACAAGCGAGAGGAAGAGTCGTCATCTCGGAGACACCATGGCGACAGCGAGCGTCGCCGACGACACGAGGGCGGCAGTGACAGACGTCATGGAGAGGAGACGTCGAGTCACAGACGCAGGAAGGAGGAGAACGATGATGAGGTGAGGAGGGAGGAGGGGACAAGGTGGTTGTTGTTGTTTTCAGATCCCTTTAGCTGCCAGCTTTTCGCTATTGGCAGCACAATGCCTCCCTCAAGTAACCAAGTGTCCTTGTCATCTGGTCAACGCCAGAGTAGAGAAGACTTTGTAAGTCTGTAGGGAGGGAGGAGGTGAGGGGGGGTTGGGTGGAGAGGGAGGGGTGAGGTGAGGGGGGGTGAGGTGGAGAAGGAGGGGTGAGGTAAGAAGGGAGGAGGGATAAGAACGACAATGAGATAAGGGAGATGAAACTGGCTCTGTTCCAATTCTGCATGGCTTGTCCTCTACTTCCAGGGGAAACTGTCGAAAAGATGGCCAACTATAGTCGGTTTGTTGTTGTTGTTGTTGTTGTTGTTGTTGTTGTTGTTGTTGTTGCTTCTTCTTCTTCTTCTTCTTCTTCCTCCTTCCCATCATCCTCCTCCTCCTTCATCTCATTGTAATCATCGTCATCATCAAGGCGTCTCACGTTTTATACCTTTCCTGTTGTTCGCAGGAGGAGCGAGAGAGGAGGAGACAGGAGAGGAGGGAGAAGAGAGACAGCGAAGGAAGGAAGGAAAAGAGAGACAGCGAAGGAAGGAAGGAGACAGATCCCCAGAGAGACAGAGAGAACCATCCTGAGGTAGCTACACTTGTGCTGGTTACCTTTCTACTTGGTTCATCCTCACAAGGATA